AAATAGCACCTGAAATTACGAAGTAATTAGAAGATTGCTTAAAATAAATATGGAGACCCTCGACAATAACGACGATATTATACAACGAACTCCAAGCCATCAAAAGAAATGAAAAGGAATGGATGACCACTATCGAAAATATAGAGCGAGTGCTACGTCAGTTGGAAGCCATAGGAGAGAATTTGGAGCATTCAAGTATCGAAACCACGATAGAAAGTAAGTTACCATCATGGGTTTTGAATAAGATATGTACTCAAAAGAAAGTAGAGGTGCCTTGGTCAATTTCAAAACTTAGAGATTTTTTGTCGGACATAGTCCATGTAACCGAACAGGTCAAGAATAGTCAGAATCCTTCCACATTTATGGACACTAAACTTACAATCGACAAGTTAGGACAAAAACCAAGATATAATCCTGGAGGAACATCAGCATTGTCGATGGTACGTAGCAATTCAAAACTCTTATCATTCGCAGTTCGAAACAATCAACATTTAACGCAACTCAGCCTGACCCAATTCAGCTCAACCTCTTGCAACCCAGATCAACTCAACGCAACTCAGCCTGACTCAACTTAACTCAACCCAATACGCAACACAACCCAATTCAAAGCAGCCTAACGAATCTTAAGAAGCCGATCGACAACACTGGCGATATTTGGCTATTGGTCGACATCACACTTCACGATTCAGAAAAAACCCACCACATGGACTAACAATTCAGTAAATTAAAGTTGTCTGCAAAGAATGTGCTTGCCATAAGGCACTAAAATAAAGTAATTCAAACCTGATATTGATTAAGTAAACTTGTATTCAACTTCAGTTCTTCGAGATGTTCTTTTGTGTTCAAAATTTCTACACCGCTTGTCGTCCAGCTTGCATCATCGCCGGTGACATTCATTTGATCATGAGAAATTCTCAAATATTACTTGAGAAACTTTGATACTTTAAGGATTTTATTGAAAAAATCCTTTGAAATGAAAAAAAGAAAATAAAAAATTAGGAAGAAAAAAAATTATTGACTCCAAACAATTCTAACTTACACACATAATGCATCAGTGAAATTAATCAACATCGATGCATTCCACACAGAGCATTCAACCATTCTTGTTATATTTAAACCGATATCAAGAGCCTGTAGCAATGAAAAATTGGCTGATACGGTAGTGTTCATGCACACAAATATACTTCCACACATGTAACATCACTTAAGGTATTATTGTATAAAAAATTACTGTGTAAGTTGCATTTATCCATAAAGTCTGTAATTTAGTTTTAGTGCTCTCATCGTCAGGGATTTCGGAAGTGTTCTTTTTACTTTTAGTAGAATTATCGCGATCAAGATAAAAAAGTGTTCCTGAAACATTCTAAAATGAAAGAAGTAATTGATAGGGTAATGAATTGCTCCAGTATACTACTTAAATACTTTCTATACAACGGCAGAATTGAGAAAGGACAGGTAGATGTTTTGTCCCTTGGATTGATTTCCCAAATATTTCCAAACTACCAAATATAACCTAACAAGTCTGAATGAGGTGAGATGATTTCAATTGAACGGAAACTAAGAACTATTTGGCTTTCCTCAATCAATAATTGTAAAAAGGTTTAAATAGGATACAAAGGAACTTGTTACAATCACATAATCATATCATTTGCTCTGCTACCCTCATTAATAGTTTCTTCAGTAAAATTATCACTTGAAAAACTTTTTGTCTCGATTAGACTGTTCCGTAATATCTTCGTGATACTATTTTCGCTGTCTGCAACAAATTCGTTTCCTCTCGCAAACAAATTGAATCATTACTCCACAATGGCTTCTGGTCACTTTAAGTAATTCTGGATTTGTTACTTTTTGGGAATCAAATTGTCAGGAAGTAATAAAATGAGAAAAAATTTATAATAAACCATAAGAGCTTCGAATAGGAAGTAGAATGTATGGTGTACATATTACAAAGTTTTTGCTACTTATATCTCTACGTGATGTAATTCAGACAAGTCACGCAACGTATGTTTGACGTGGTTAGCTGTAATATTCATAATATATTTTAATATGCAAATAAAAAAACATACCTTTCTTCAACGGTGTCATTGTCGGATAAGTATTTGTTCGCCTCAGAACTTTTGCCATTTAATAACGCAGTTGAAATAAAAAATAAAAGCTCACTAAAGTATTTCATAGCATCCGGAACATTTCCGTCCGTTTTCACGATTAATTCGATAATACCAATTTACTTTTGACATGGAATCATTGAACATATACTGCAAACCTTCTTATAGGTAAACCTATCTATAAACCTTTTTACAATTTTAGTTGTAAAAGTAAAATTTACTTTCAAACTAACTTATTTCTGCAGTAAGCTTAATTATCAGAAAATTTCCAAAATTTATATTCTCATTTTTATTATCAAAAGAATAAACAAATATTTGAAAATGACTATTCAGTAGCCGTGCATATTACTCAAGAATAAATGAAGACAATTGTGAACTACCACAGGGAACGGTCAATCGTCAAGCAAAATGATTGGACTGGAAGAAAAGCCAACAACCTGTCAAATTCAATCAGTTCTATGGGGAAATGGATGTAACCGCGCATTAATTACCGCTTTTTTATTTCGTATTTTTTAAATGTCTGTTTGTTGACAATTTATTTAATGAAATTGCAACAACAATTTCATTTATTCAAACAAAACGCCATTTTCATTCCTCTCCCACACTTCAATATAGCCAATATCAGCATTGCCTTCTTGTAAACATTAAAATTCTTTATTAACTACCATTTTAATAAACTATGAGATGAAAATATTAACATCTTTTTAGCTATTTCTCATTTTCATTTCTCTTTCCCACGATATTGTTTTAAAGTATTTTCATTTCTCACTGATATTTTTTTCTATTTACTGGAAGATTTCACTGAACTACACTGAGAAGTACTGGAATAGTTCATGTCGTAACATGTACATCTTTTTATTTAAAATCTTGGTAATTTTCTTTTGAAATTGATATTTCCCGAAGTCATTTTGAATTTTCCCGATTTTTACTATCTTATGAGTTATGACAATTTTTTAGAAATAAAGTCCGTTTGTTTATGACATCTTGAACTTGCAAGGTTGGGAGAGGTATTCAGGTTCATCTTGAACCTCCCTGAATACCTCTTCCAACTTTGCAAAACATATGTTTCGGAAGATTGGAATATTGGGCTCTTTCTTCATGGCTTTTGTTGCTGCCTATTTGTGCACTATCAAAAGACAAATATCCTAATTGGATGCAATGAATCGATACATAATTTATTTCAGATCGAAATTTTGATGCTATTAGTTGTTTCGGGATAATTTCTAAATGTTATTACTAATTAAAAGTACTATTAATTTGGAATGAAATGTGGATGAAATGTTAGTTCTGATGAAAGCACTGCTAATATACTTTATTCCGATTACTCTGAAAAACGAAATCCAATTATCATTTAATACACAATAGAGTATAACATTTTCTAAAATAATTACAGAAGGATTAACTTTCTTTTATAAAATTTTTCGAAGTATCATATTCGATAGCGGTCAATGGCGAAGTTGTTGCTATCTGTGACGGCTGGAAGTTTCTAAAAGGCATTCCTCATACGATGGTGTGGGAGATCGTAGTAATTTGGAAATGACACAATTGCTGCAAAATTTTTTCGATTTTAGGTCAATGAAATTGAATGAAATAAAAATTAAATAGGACTGAAATTTCCATTCTGAACAAAATTGATTATCCTTATTGCTTCCAATTGGTTTAATTAAAATTCCACCTTTTTCTACCTTCTTCTATTCCTTAACTCACATGAACAATCGTATCTTCTAAAAATTTTTCTCTTCTAAAATTAATTTACAACTCAATTAGAATGATGCCTTTATTACTTGATGTTCATAAGGCAAATTTTCACTTAGCTTTAATATTTGAAAACTTGAAAATATCACCTTCCTCAAATTCAGATTTCTGTAGAAGATTTGCATCTGTTGCAAAATTTGTTCCGATGAAAATTGGGATCTAAATAAAATGCTAATATTCATTCTCAAGTTTTTAATTGTTTTGAATTTTTAAAGGAATTGATGATGGTAAGTGTTAGATATCACGAGAATTGTCACATGTAAATGACCTTAATCAAACTTAGAACCATCTATGAAGCAGTTTCTTTACTATTTGGCCAACAGTGATTTCAAAATATTCAATGACTGACCCCAATAGTTTGCAAAGAATGAAAAAGTTTAAAAAGGAAAAAAACGAACTGTCAAGGTACAAACAATATGTTTCACGCTGCTACTCATTGTGATCCTATCAAAGCCAATGTCCAGTTTGAAATCATACTCGAAAGTCATGCATCCACTAATCTGGAAACCCGGTACAAAGCTAGTACGTTAAATTTGCGAATTTATACCGATCCACTGGGTATTTTATGTATATCCATGCCAACACTTACTATCAAGTTTATGAAATTGCTACCATAGGTAATTAGTCAGAAACTATAGGATGATGACTCCATAATTAAACAAAGTTAATGTGGGAAACAATCCCCAAATAAATTTAAATATTGATAGGTCAATAAGGTGCAAAAAAAAAATTAAAACCGGAGAAAAAGACAGTAATGGATTTACCAAGTGTATCCTGGAACCATTCTTTGCCATATTTCATCGGATATGTCGCTATGCAAAAAACTCTCTGTCTTATCGATAAATGAGAAAATTTTATAGATTTGTCAGATTTATGCAAATTTCTTTTTGAACATATCGTAGGGAAAAAGCTCTTCAATGGTCCAAAATGTCAAAAATTCAAATCTGAAATCTGTTATTCAGAATTTCAAGAAAATGCAAAAATCAATAAATACAATATATATCAATATATACTTGTTATCAATATATACTTGAGCAGGTATTGCCTCACCAAGCACTAACCAACGTTTTGAGATTGACAATTCAACATCAAAGTAACAACCCCCAAAAGTGTTTGAAATTGACGGAAAGGATTCGAGAAGTATAACTTATAAACAAAATTTATGTGTCCATGTGAAAATTTAACTAATCGTTTTGTAAATGAAAGGAAGCAAGAAA